ATCTGTATAATGATACTCTTAAAATTGTGTTCTATCTAATTATATAGGTTTAGCTAAGATTCATAAGATTTGTGATTTGCAATATTTAAAGAACTCAGCAATTGTGAAACTATCAGGATTTTCTTTTCATTTTTAAAAATGTATACCAATAGTTCACCTCACATTTTTAGCATGCCAAACTATAATTAAGGAAATACAGATTTATGTATGAATTATGTGTCAGTCAATCTCTTATAAACAGCTGGACAACTTCTTAACTAAGTCACTTTATTCTATATGGGAAACTTCCTAGCTACAAAATGATAGACAGCCCAAATGAAAACCCAAGGGATGCATAAATAGTCACTCTCTGTAGCTTAATGGAATTGTGAGTAATCCTCCCACTAAGTTTAGCAATTAGAAGATTCAGTATCAGAGTTCTGTACATAGTTTTGAGCATCAGAATTTAACTAGTTTTGAGAACTTGGAGAGATACCAAAGAAGAGCAATAAAAATGAAACATGAGTTAGAAAACCAGCCCTTATGAGGAAAGGAATGAAAATAATGAAAATCTGCCTTGTGTGTGATGCTAAAGGAAATTTAGCCTTTATGAAGGAAGGGATGGGATTTGAGTCCTTAGCTTATGCTTGAATGAAAGAAGGCAGCACACCTCAGTTATTTTCTGGGGCCAATGCAAGAGGGAAGTTTAGCTTTTCCCTGCAATATGTAACTCTCCAAGAGGTTCCGGGAAGGTATGATTAAAAGCTACATTTTTTTCACCAGTGTAATATCAGTTCAAGTAAAGTTCTCAGTCTGTAATGTTGAATGCCTGTTGCTCAACAAGTGTTTGTGGAATAAAAGGGTGCACTCTAGCTTAGACTGCATTCATTTTAGTGATTTACTAAATTCCACCTCTCTTATTCACCCTCATATAGTATACTAAACTTATTCACCCTTATATACTATACTAAACTACAAATTTTATTTGTAATTGCTACACATTTTTAGTTAAAAATACCAAACATAAAATTTTTAAATAATGTGTAAAATACTAGTGATTTCATCCATGCATGGAATATAAAGAGGCAAAGCAAAGGAACAGACAAAACTCAACCATAGCAAACCGTAGAAATCCGAGAGCAGAACTGAGCCTACTGGAGAGAAAGGGTAGGAGTGGAAAACAAAGTGTAGAGGGGCCCAAAGGACTATGGTAAAGGGCTCTCCGGAGTGTTCTGGGGGAGGGTGTGGTATGGTAACACATCTTTGAAGAGGTGTAAACTCATCCCCCTAAAATGTCATAAACCAACATCACCCCATTTTTTAAAAAAGTAAATAAGTAAAACAATAATATCTGAAACTACCAGAGATATCAGGTAATGTGTAGAATAAACACGGATGGAACACAATTAAAAGTCTTTATCAAAAACTGGTGATTTAACTTTAAAAAAATCAATTCTATGGGAATAACCCTAAACACCGAGAAAAACAGCTTTCCTTTATGTTGTAGCGTTATTTAAAAGAACACACATCTAGATGCCATGTAAAGGTCCACATGGAAAAGCCGTGCCTGTGGGGTGAATCATTCAACAACAGCAAAGATCAGTTACAGACCATGCCGCAGTAGTCATAACCGCTTTTCCGCACGGAAGATTATTCCCAAGGCAACTGTTAGGACCCAGAAAAGCTGGACCATAAAAACTCCCAGAAAACAATACACATCTTCCAAATATATAATTTGGGGTTTCCTACTTGCTGAGGATTATTATGTCTATAAAAACATAAAACACAAGTGAGAATAGCTCCTACCAGCTTATTTTTATGTAAAGCTATAAAACTAAATAGCCCTTGCTTCTGGAAGGCAACCACGAATTTGAGAGAATGAAAGAGACAGAGAGGGGACTCTTCACTAGAGATTTATTTATAAGAGGACTTTATCCATCAATTATGTCACTGTATCTGGCTACATTAACCAAGCTCATAAAAATCTTCTTAAAGTTTATCTATGCTGATTATTTTTCAGAGACAGACTCACTTTTCCTATTCTTATGAACTATTTCAGTTGCAATAACCACCTCCTCACAGGATCATCCTAAACCAGAGAGACTACAGACTTAAAATACATAAGAGCACTTCTCCCTCCCCATTTTTTGCTAATGGGTCATGTCATAGGATTCTAATTTTTAAACCCAATATGGCCTCAGAATCTTTCTCAACACGATATTCCAGAAAGCAAGTCGCTATCCATCTTAGCGCCTGCGTGATAAGCTCTCTACTATCCTTGAATTCAAAAATAAATCAGGAAATTCATTTCCCTGGTACATTTGAAACTGATTTCCTCATTGGTCAATCAAAACAAGGGTATGTGTTGCCCTTTCAGAATCAAGTGTGGAAAATTCAACATTCATCAATTCTTCTAAAATATTCACCTACTAGTACAATTTTATTTAAAATATGTCTCTATAGAAGCAACCAATAAAATAAAAGGACTATATGATAACAAGAAAATAAAATGTTTATAGTATAGTATATATTTTTTAAGATATACTTTCTCTCTAAATTTTACCATTTTGCCCTGATAATTATCAAAACATGATTTAAGATGATCAGAGTATGGTCATCTGTGTTAAAGCTTCCAATATATATATATAAATAATGAATTCTTTATTTCACATTACCAGGAACACTTACAGCTACAGGAAACTAAGGAAACTGCCTCTAAAATTATGATTTTAGAAAAAATATAAATAAAAATACAATTTTAGAAAACCATGTGCTAAACACACTCAGAATCTTTTAAAGCCCCCAAACTTGTATCATTTACTACCCTGAGGAATACTGAAGAAATGGATCTGAATTTAAAATAAAACCAAACATAGAAAGCTCCTCAAATGTCCCCTGTATGCATGTTACCTTTAAGTGTACAATAATGTATATTTAGAGGATCCCTGCAAGAACACTTGGGATATCCCTAATAAGCCAGTACACTCATTAGATCTCTCTCCTCATGAATCTCACCTATAAGATGCCAGAACAATAAAGTTCAGACACAGAACAAATTCCCATTTCCTGCATAAAACAGCATCTGCCTTTTCCCATACTGGTTGTGCAAGGCAGCTTATTTACAAATATATAAATAGCTGCAACTTTACTCCAGTCTCACTGAAAAATCAAAATGGCATCATGCAAGAAAAGCATCCTAGCATACTTGGCTCAATGAGTGAAATACAAGTGAAGACAAGCCAAGCTACTTGACACTCACTAGTCAGCTTAACCAGATACCCTTCAGTTTCCTGTAGTGCAGGGACTGTGGTTCTATTCCACAGAGCCAGAGACTTCATTTACATTGATTGCACAGGGTTTACACAGTGATTTACAGCCCAAGGTAAGAAAATAAATTTCAAGTCATGCCTATTATTTATTATCACACATATTCAAAAAGGCATAGCATAGCAAGTCTTCCAATGTAACCACTTAAAATTAGCTAAGTCTTCTTAAATAAAAATTCACTGAATTTTTAAAAAGCTTTCACTCCTTTTCTTTGCCACCTGATAAGAATTATAGGGGTTTAAATCATCAGAAGAAGAGAGGAGAGAAAATGCACTTCAATTTTTGGAGCAGAATTTATTACCTTTTAAAAATTCACTAATTATCAACAAATAACTATGAACCAGAGACACACTATGGGGGGGGGCGGGAGAAAGGAAGGATTGGGGTCAAAATAAGGGGGTTGCAATTGTATGGGGAATATAAAAATAAAATTAAAAAAATAAAAAATATATAAATAAATGAATATAAAAATTCACTAATTAAATTTATCTTCTACTAAAGAAACATCCAAACACACACGTGTGTATGATATATGTACATATATGAGATACAGATTAATCTTTCTTTATGCATTTGAATGGTACTGCTATGCCTTGAGGGATTAATGTTTACATGTGAAGCCATCTAAAAGCCACCCACAACTGCACAGGTCTGTACATCTGCTGAAGGGCCCCACCTGACAATCCCCCACTGCATCCTCTAATATCACCTTGCTCTCTTCCTGAACACTCTTGATTCTTACCAATTCATGAGCAATTTAGTCTTAAGGAACTATATCATTAAACTAAAAGTATCTAAAATACCACAAAATAGGAGGATTAAAAGAAAGTTTTTTCGATGAAAAAGTGAGTGTGAACCTACAGAGCATCTGAGGATAGGCAAAGAGATGATTAATGCTATGTCCCCTTGAGAATTCAAAAGTTGAGATTCTCAACAATCTGTCTGGTAACTTAAATATTAGGTATCTATCAGAAAGTAAAAACTCATCACATGTTTTCAAACAAACATATCTATATTGCCTATTAAACCAAACAGAATTTTAATTTTTTTTTATTGCAGCATATTTACACACTGGAATGTTCATCTAGGACTCATGACCAAACATAACGACCATTTACGCCTTATGGGTAACTCATGCTTTCTAAATTACTTTCTATCTGTCCTTAATTACCTTCGGCAGAGCACAGGGAAGATACTTTTGCCCTATATATTTATTGACCAATTTTCAGTACTTAAATGGCTAGAGACTCTTTTTTTAAGTCCCAGGTTTATTAGTAGAAAGAGAATGGCAAAGATAACAAAAGAAAACTTTGATAAATCCATTTTGTAATAAGTTCAAAACCAAAAATAATACTGCAAACAGTTTTTCCTTACTATAACTTTACATAACATGTAAGAAGAATATTTAAGGGCCAAGTTCATGTATTACAATATATCATGAAGCAGAGTAAAAATAAGAATAAATACAATGAATATTAGTATTGTGTCTCTAAGTCTACATTGTTTTATAGTTCATGTTTTAAAATCAAATTTTGGTTATGTCTACTTTAAACATATATTTACCACAGCATTCCTGCTGACAATTCAATGACTACTGAGAATATTTTTCATTTTCTAAACAAATTATTTGGAATCACCTTAGAAAATCATTACACAGTATTAAAAAAGATAAATAAAATGATTATTTTACTTACATGGTATCTCTAATAAGAAGTGCACTTCCCAGTCTGAAACAGGTTTTATCACCTTCACAAAATGCACGTCTCAGAGAAAAGCTCTCTCCTAGGTCAAAACCTGAAAAATGGGGCAAATGAATTAATCCAACAGTTGTATTAAATTTAGTAAACTCACAAAGTTATTGATTTTTAAAACAGGATTTATTGTTGTCCTTATTTGTAAACTAATTTATTTAAAATAAAATTGGGATCAGTAAAATTTCTGATTTCATTTATCTCCTTTTAAGATACAGAAGATAATAAAATGTGTTTCAAATGGCACAAATATTAATTTTCTTTGACCAAGGAATTATCCTAAGTAAATAACCAGAGTAGTTCATTATAGCAGCTATCTAAAAACAAAATTAGTTCAGAAATATTACAGACATTCAGTTGAAATCTAAGCAGTCATTTTAAGAAAAATCATGCTTTAAGAGAATAATTCTAAGTGATGTGGGTAAATGTTTATATTTCAAAAGCAATATGAGTATTATGATCATGTGTGCATACGTGTGTGAGAGAAAGGAAGAGAGTGGAGTGGAGCAGGAAGGAGGGAGAAAGAGAGAGAGAGAGGAGGCTGTAAGGAAGAAAGATCAAAACAAGTTAGATTGAAAAATACACTGGTTACTAGAGAGAAATGGGGCAGATGGAGAAGGGTTGGGGAAGGAAGGCGATAGGGCATTGGCAAGGGAGTATTGGAGGAAGGTGCATGAAGCTTGTGTATATATGGAGGTGTGCAAAGTTATACAAATACGTAAATGCCAGATTAATTTAAAAAAAAGATTGAAACATTACACCAAAGTGGTCATCATGACTATATTTACTAGCAAAATACTCTCCCTAATAAATCTTTTCTTTTTTTTAAAATTTCTACAGAAGTGCATAATTTGTATAAGTATAAATAACTTTTTTCTCCAAGAGGTTTTGGTGTTGTTGGTCTTAGCTTCAGCTCTCAGCATTTCTTCTGAATCAACATTAATTTTTATAGTGGTATTATCATATTACAATGTCAAAGAATCATCTGTATTACATATCTGCTGATAATTTTTCACAAAATGCTTCTCGGCAAAGAATTAAAATGCTCACCTGAAAGTTCATCTTTGCTATCTTGTGTAAACTGGTGTCCCACTGTTCTTAATACAGGACATTGATTTTCTACTAAAAAAAAAATCAAGGATTTACATTACATTTTCTATCACGGTTTTCAAATAAATTTGAATCACGAAAGAGAATAGATATAAGATAAAATGGAAACAAATTAAACCATCTTACTGTTTCTTTAAAATGACAAAAGAATATTATACACCTCACGGTGTGTTTGTGAGGATTACATTACATGCCTGGCACTTTTCTAAGAGCTCGTATTAATTCTATCATCAGTATTATTCTACTATTCTAGCTATTGCTATATAGATGCTATTTTTAAAATTTTTTTTAAGATTTATTTATACAAGCACTGGGGTACAGGCCAGAGGTGCAGGAGGGTGAGAGAATCCACCAGAGAAGGAGCAAGGAGCAGAACAGGCAGAAGGACCGAAATACACTGCTGAGGGGAGCAGCAGGCGAGACAGGAGAGGTCTGCCGCACCATGCAGGAATCTCCCTGACCAGCCGGGAATCGAACCAGTGCTGTGGAGGCTGTGGACAGCCTCACAGCGCTGCACTCAACCCGCTGCACCACCGGGGAGGCTCACAGATGCTATTTTAGGATGTTAGCTAACTTTAAAATCATGACTTTTCATGTTCAAGGTATATTTTAATATTTAAAGATATGAACTACTATATTTTAATATCCTTTGATTAGGACTTTGGTGTCAGGTGACATTAAGTTTTAGCATAGACTTTGTCCTCTTAAAATTCATAAATTGAAGGCTTAACCCCCAATATGATGATGATTAGAGACTGAGCCTTTGGGAGGTAATTAGGTTTGAGTGAGATCATAGGAGTAGAGACCCTATGATAGGATTTCTTCTAATAAGAGGATGGAAAACATAGGAGCTCTTTCTCTCCACCATGTAAGGAAACCAGGAATATAGTAGACCAAACCAGAAATGGTCATGTTAGAACCCTGATCTTTGACTTCCCAGACTCCAGAATTGAGTGCATTAAATGTCTGTTGTTTAAGACACACAAACTATCAGTCTGAACTGAATGACTAAGGCAGAGACATAGTTGGAAGTTAGAATAAAACTCAAAGAAAAGAAGCAAATACCTTTGGTATACAAAAGAGGCCTATTATGAAAAATATGAGATAACATCATTGAGGCAGTAATGATTATGTGCTAAGGTACTTAATTATATTCAAAGAAATAAAAGATAAGGTGAATCTACATTCACACTGAATTTACATATTTATAATATTCAATACTTACATTTTTCCATATTGAATACTAATACAGTAATGTGCATGTACACAGTAATTATTTTATTATCTGAGGTATGTTTAAAGCTAATTCAGGCTAGATTCTAAAACTCTAATAATCAACTCAGACAAAATTACAGCCCATTTTTAAAATAGTCCAATGTTAAAGCACAACTGGAAAGATCTTAAACTAAAAATTGACTAAATATTTTGCATCATAAAATCAAACCTTAATTCTCCACATCTGAAATTAATGTTTTGGTTTAATAACCTAGAAAATTTTGATACAGATTAGAGATAAACTTAAAACCAAATTGATCTGATCTGTAGAAAGTAGAAACTACTGATTTTCTACTCAATTGCTGAGTTCCTAAACCTTTCATTTAAATTTATATCAGTGATTTCATGGGTATTAACAGGGCATGATTTTAATATATTTAACTAGAAGAATGAATTAGCTTATAACTAGTGTTACCATTTTATCAGATGTAAAAGCTGCAATATACAAAAGTGAAATTATAGCACTGAATAATTTTACAGATTACTTAGCTTCTTTGAGATAATAGTCCTGTCTCATATATCTTAACATGACAGCTGATCTTCAATAATAAACTGGATGCTTTATAAACATTAACAACTTTTCATTTGAATTCATGATCAGTTTTATAAAAACCAAGCAACACATTTTTAGATCTCCACACTGTAAAATAATATTGCTGAGGGAAATGAGAATCCTAAATAACTGATGATGTAAACCCAGTATTTAGATTGAGAGATTCAATATTGAGATGACAACTCTAGACTTATCTCTAGATTCAGTTTATCACCAATTAATTTCCCAACAGGTTATGTGTGGGTATGAGTGTACATAAAAAACTTTTACAAACTGATTCTCAAGTTTATATGCAACTACAAAATAACTAGAATATCTAAGGTAAAATTGAGGAACAATATGGAGGACTTAGAATATCAGGTATCAGAAATTTTTATAATGTGGTATCGTATACATTTAAATAAACAAAACAATGAAACAGAGTCCAAAAATAGACCTATGTATGTATGTTCTCCTTATTAACACAAAAGGGTCTCCACAAGTCAGTGGGAAAATAATGATCTTTCAATAAGTGAAACTGGATCAACTGAATCTCCACCTAGAAAAAAGTCTACCTTCACCTTTCTCATGCTCTGCACAGAAATTAATTTGAGATGATCTTAGACCAACATGTGAAAGGTACAACAATAAAATATGTAGAATAATATAAAATCTTCATGAACGTGGGATGGCAAAGATTTCTTCTTTTTTCCTAAGTCATGTTTTCTGAGATAGAGTACATTTACATCTTTGTATAGCAAATATTTTTTAAAGAAAGCATTAACTGTAAAAAAATGTATAAAATTGGATTTTGTTAAAATTAAATCCTTTATTAATCAAAAGACAACATTTAAAAAGTGAAAAGGCAAGCCACAGACTAGGAGAATGTATTTGCAATACATATGTCCAATGAAGTACCATATTAAGAGTACACAAAGAACTCACATAAATCAGTTAGAAAAAGATCGAGAAGCCTATTTTCAAAATGTACCAAAAAATAAAACCCCTCAGCAATTTACAAAAGAGAACATCCAAATTGCCTCCATGCATATGAAAAGTTGCTCAACATCATTAGCAATCAAGGAAATGCAAAGTAAAACCACAGTAAAATATAACTAAATGGCACTGAAATTATAGAACTGACAGCACCAAGTTTTGATGAGTCTGTGGAGCAAAGAGAACTCTCCTGCACTGCTCATGGGATTGACAATCAGTACACTCTTTAGATGACTCTTCGACAGCACTTACTAAAGCTAAATATACTTGAACTCTATATCCTAGAAATTCAATGAACCAAGAAGAATTAGCACCAAAAATAGAGTTTAAATGACTCTTTAGAAGAGAATCTTCATTGTAGCATTACTCATAAGAGTCTAAACTGGAACAAGCTCAAATGTTCATTGACAAGACAATAGATGAATGAATTGCCATATATATACACACACAAAAAACTGATAATAAAAAAGAATGAATTACTGATAGATGCAACAACCTAAATGAATCCCAAATATATAATATTAAGTAGAGAAAATCCTATTCCCAAAATAAATATTGAATATTTATAAAGTTCATGAGATTATACAACTAATTTAAGTCAAAGTACTCATTACCATGATGGGATGTCAACTGGGTATGGGTGCAGAAAAGCATTCTGGTGTTCTGGAAGTGTTATTTCATTTCATCTGAGTAGCAGTAACACTACTGTATACAATACATATATGTACACATACACTACATACAATATCAAATATTACATAAGTACATAACAAATACATGTAAAAATTTGCTGCACTGTGCATCTAAGATATGTTGACCTTAGTGTAGTCATACCTCAACAAAATAAAACAGTACATCTGTTAAAAAACACTTTAAGCTAAAAACGATTTTTTGTGAAATAAAACAATCCTGATCAAAGTTTTCTAATGATTTTATATGACTATAAAAAATAAAATAAACTTTACATTCTTTACAACATCTATAGGAAGTCCCAAAGGATGTCTGGCAAATCTCAAGACAGTGGAAAGGGGACTTCCTACTATGGCATGAAACAGTATACTACATAAGGAAATTTAAGAAAATATAATATAGAAAAGAAGAAACAAATAGCTCATAGCCACATGACACAGAGATCAACTCCATTATGGTTTTCTGACAATGAAATTGGATAAATAACATTTTTTCACTGAATATTTCATTAAAAATAACATGAAGATAATTTCCCCAGGTCACTAAAATTTCTTACAGATGTAATTTCCATATTTATCTTGTGGATATGGTTTAGTTTAGCTAAATACTTCTGCAGAATTTGCCATTCAATGTTCTGATTTTTCTCCTATTTGAATAATAAATATACTTTATATTTACAATAAAAGTAACTTTTGCTACAGGTTAATGTGAATATGTATTTCAAAATGGCCTTCTATGTGATATTCACCACAATTTTATATTTGATAATTTTTAGAATTTTGTTTTATCTTCAGTATACATTCTATGGCTTCTTGCACATGTGTAACATTCTTAGAGGGAATGCAACATCTAAGTTAATAGTTACTTTCTCCCATAATGAATATGTGATGATGTCAAAGTAATAAAATTGTCATTTCAATGAATGGAATTCAACATTTCCAGTGATATTTATGAAAAGATTTTTCCACTAAATTCTTTAGTGTATGAAAATAAAACACAGCTTCATATTTTTAGAATGTGTCCTTTTCATGAAAAGCTAAACAAAATAAGTAGAAACTGTTAATTATTTGAAGATAATAATTTGAGTTTTGAGATACAATCTTCTGAAGGCATGAGTTGTAGGGATCCACTACTAAAAACAGCAATGTGGTAAAAGTGGCTATCACGAGTTGGATGAGATAATTACAAGTACTGACACATACATTTTAAAATAAAACACAGTGTTTGGGTTTTTTTGGTTTTTTTTTTTTTTTTGAGAAACTGTATATATACACAGAAGAACTACTGGTAAGACCCAAATATCCTTTCAGGTAGACTTCAAAGTTTCTCTGGAACATTACAAAAGCAAGTAATAAATTTTACCCCAAAAGTTGAACTGCTTAGGGAACCCAAATCAACAAAACTTTGAAAAGCAAATGTTCACATCTTTAAGAAATTCATGCTAAAATGTTAATGATTGTCAGATCCACTTTCCTTCTGACTTGACTTGAAGGGCCCTGGTAGTTTGTAGAGTTGGAAG